TTTATTTATTTAACGTTTATTTATTTTTGAGACAGAGAGACAGAGCATGAACGGGGGAGGATCAGAGAGAGAGAGGGAGACACAGAATCCGAAACAGGCTCCAGGCTCCGAGCTGTCAGCACAGAGCCCGATGCAGGGCTTGAACTCATGAACCACGAGATCATGACCTGAGCCGAAGTCGGAAGCTTAACCGACTGACCACCAAGGCGCCCCCAAAATTTTCTATTTAGAACAAACTTTTTAGATAAAGTAGGAGAGGGAAAAAATCTAAATTGAAATCTTTTCCGAATTTAGTAATCATGAAATTGTCCTTTAAAGGGTGTCCGTAGGAACCCTTTCTAAAAAAATTTTAATGTTTATTTTGAGAGAGCCAGACAGAGCACAAGCAGGGGAGGGGCAGAGAGAGAGGGAGACATGGAATCCAAAGCAGCCCCCAGGCTCTGAGCTGTCAGCACAGAGCATGACACAGGGCTCGAACCCACAAGCCGTGAGATCATGACCTGAGTGGAAGTTGGATGCTTAACCAACTGAGCCACCTAGGCTCCCCGGCAAAACCTTTTTTGAAATATCTGGACTTCAGGATTTTTGTGCTGGTTAATCAACATGAGTAAAAATGTTCAAATTAATATCCATAATTTTAAAGCTAGCCATTTTTTGTTGTTATTCAGAAGAGTCACAGAATGAACTTTACTCCTTTTTGTGCATAAAAGTAAACAAATCGCTGATTCTTGGAGAGTCTTTACCTTAAACACTGTAAGATATCTATAAAACTGATACTCATTGTTTTGTTTTAATACAAATAATTTTTGTACATGGCATGATTTGTAACTTTTTAAAATGCACATCAATTGTCCCAATATCAAAGCCTACACTTTTCTCATTGGTTTGAAACGTGATCTTTATCATATATACGTTTTGTTTCCGGATTCTACACCCCATTCTATGCAATACCACATTATTACAATTTCTGAACGGTTTTCTATGTGGTAAAGCAAGATCTCCTCATTGCTTTTTTAAAAATTAATTTATTTATTTTGAGAGAGCAAGACAGCCTGTGCACAAGTGAAGGAGAGGCAGAGAGACAGGAAGAGAGAGAATCAAAAGCAGGCTCCATGATGACAGCTCATGAAATGTGAGATCATGACCCGAACTGAAATCAACAGTAGGACGCTTAACCAACTGAGGAATTTTAAATATAGCATGTCAGGTCCTACTAAAAAACCTTGTTAGTATTTTTACTAGCATGCACTGACTTTCCAAATTAATTCAGTGGAATTTGTATCATTCAGTATTGAATCATCCATCAGTAACATATACACCTTCCCACATATTCAAGATTTTCTTAGCAAGAGTATCTTAGCAATTCTTGGGCCTTTAAACATCCTTATACATTTCAAATCAACTTATCAAGTTATGTACACACACACACAAGTCCAGCTATGGATTTTCAGATTATAATAAATCTATATAAAAGTTTACATAGAATTGAAATCTTTATAATATGGAGTCTTTCAATCCATGAACATGGTGTATTTCCATTTACCATGGAGATTTTTCTCCATATGGGTCATACCTATCTTTTCTTAGATTTATTTGTGGTTACTTGACCATTTTTTTCATACTTTTGTAAATATTCTTTTTTAAATTTTGCTTTGTTGTTGGTGTACAGAAATGCAATTGATTTTAAAATAATTTATCCATTAATCTTGCTATTTTAATACTTTACCCGTAGGTTACTTTAGGTTTTCTTTGTCGATAATCATATCATCTACAAGCAAATGCTTTGTTCTTTTTTTAATACTTTTTTCCTTGCTGCACTGGCTAGAACTTTCGGTATAATGTTAAATAGAAATGTTACTATAGCAGGCATGCCTCTCATTCCTGATCTTCAAGAATACATTCACTGTTTCATCATTAAGTACAATGTTTGCTGTAGAGTTTGTTTTGTTTGTTTTTCTTTTGTGGGGGATAGATTTGTTATTGGATTAAGAAATTTTCTTCTACTTCAAATTTGCTGTTTTTTTCATTGATATATGTTCAATTGCATAAAAGTTTTCCAACACTTACTGAAATTATCCTAGGTTTTTCCTTCAATATGTTAATGTAGTGATTTACATTATTTTATTTTCTAAACCTTTTATTTCTACCGTAGAGCTTATTTAACTCATTTGGCTAAAGCTGTGGGCTCACATTTCTGGCTTCTCTTCCTTTCATAGATCCCGGCCCTGCAATTTACTTATTACCTTATTTCTCGAATTCCTTCAAACACAAATTTTTATATCTTACATTAAATATTTATATTTTTTCTAGCTTTTCTAATTATTCTCTGTTGAAGGGTTGGGCCAAACCACCTACTCTACTTCTTCTGGAAAGCTATAATCTCTACCCCTTGCATCTGAAGTTATGTCACCCCTTTTCATTCTGAATATTGTTTGCTTGGGCATTCTCTTAATCAATATGAGTGTTTTTCATTTTTATTTGTCTTTTCAAAGATAAGATTTTCTCTGGTGAGTATTTCTACTGAATTTTAAAAAGTTCACCAGTTCCACTCTGTTACTCTATTTCCTTCCTTCTCCTTTCTTTGCTTACTTTGCTATTATTTGCACATAATTTCACTATTCTTTCTTGAGACAGATACTTAGCTCATTTTTACTTGTCTTCCTTTCCAGTTTATTAATGACTATTATTTTCCTAGTAAGTACTGTTTTACTTGTATCTTACAAGTTTTGAGACATGTGGTACTTTCTTTATCATTCAGTGCTAAATATTTCTAATGTCCGTTATCATTTCTTTTTTGGCCCATATGCTATTTATAAATGTTTCTTCAC